AGTGACTTTGTATTAGGAACTTTGTCGCATAGGTCTATAGAATGTTCCATCAAAATATCTCACGATAATAACTATTGTAGGTGGCTCTACAGCCTCAATTTTGTGATAGCCGTACAGGCTCGGAACGATCGTTGGTTGACTCCGATCGTTGGGTGCACGGACACGGTACGCCGTCACACACGGTAGTATAGAAGCAGCCTAGACAGCTGAGACACCACATACCATTGATCAATTGCAGAAGCAGGCCCGCCTTGTACAAGATCTCCTTAGGCGTCAATCACAGAGTCCAACTAGTCAAGCTATCTCTCAGCTTGTTAAGGGTTGTCAGCTTGCTATGCAATCAGCAACAATCCTAGCTTAAGAGAATACAAAGCTACGTGCCTCAAATCAACGCCAGCAACATAAGCGTCAAAATCGTAGAGAGTATATATCACGTGGGGGAGCTCTACAGGTTGAGGAAGCTCAGTTACTAGTCTCACAGGCTAATAATGTGGTTGAAGAGGACGCTCAGGTTGACGCTGCCCCACGACGTCAGCGAGCACCACCAACGTGTAGCAAATGCCACGTGCAAGGTCACAATAGGACTCAATGTAGAGCTATCTAATCTATCTTGCTTCAAAACCTCACTTAATTTGACCATGTGGTTGTAGAGCAGTTGCACGGCAAGTAAAGCGCGTTTTAGTGGGGTGGCCAGGATACTGATGTGGCCAGCTTACTGATAGAACACGTTACAGTACCGTGTCCGTGCACCCAACGATCGGAGTCAACCAACGATCAGGGCACAACATTTGCAGTAGATTTCAACGCGTAAAAACTCAACCACCATGACAGGAATTTCAGATGCGCTTGCAGAGATTGATAATCTGAAGCCAGGCGACAAACTTGTATATATAAAGCTTGCAGAAAAACACAGTGTTGATCGCAACACGTTGTCCCGTGCGCACTGAGGTGTGCAGGCTCCCTGACGCGTCGCCAACGAGAACCAACGGAAACTCAGCAACCAACAGGAATCAGATCTAGTCAAGTATATAGAGGAGCTGTCAGCGCGTCACTTACCACCTACAAGGC